AGGTTGGTCAGCGCATACTGCCAGGCGGTTTCATAGAATGCCCTTACACCCTTGTAGTACTTTGATGCTTGTGAAGGACTTACATCACTATCAAGTAGTTGTCTTAAGTGCGTTTTGGTGACCATGCCAGTGAACAAATTGTCATCTTGAAATAAAAAGAACATAATATATTAACAGAAAATTACCAATCATCTTAGTTGATCATGTTATTTAAAATTGTCAGTACTGTACAGTAATTACTATTACCTGAAAGCTGATGGGCGATATCATACTCAAGATTGGTTATGTCAGGTTTTGATGCCTGGATTGCCTGTATTGATACAAATTTCCCTGCAAGTTTTTTCAAGAACGATTCAATTTGCTGAGTAATAAGTCCAATAATGGGATCCTCCCTTTGTAAGAACTTGTAAAATTTATGAATATTTGAAGTGATGACTGGTAAAAATAAAGATACACCTCTGTCATGGGATCAGTAAACAGTTTCTTGAGTCGTTGAAAACGAGGGTTACTATCATCTATAGAAAAAAAAAAGAAAATCATATTATTTAGATGATGGTTGTGCAGGCAATTTCATTGTAATGTTAATATGCATGGATAATCATTAGATTTTTTTTTCAGTTGTAAGTGAAATTGTGAGAAACTTACGTTCTGACTGAAAGTAGCTCCTAAGTGCTGCATATTGTTGGAGTGTACGACTGACTGCTCTCTCCAAACTAAGCCATCTAGTGTTAACATGTTTTATTATAGTTCGATAGCTGGTATCACAAAACTCGCAATATTCCTGTAGAGATGCTTTCCGTTTGGTGCTTTTATCAAACCAATAAAAAATGTCGACCAACATATCATCAACACTGAAGCCTGTAACCTGTTCAATGATAGAATACTTCATATTATTTAGTTTTATACATTCTAATAATTCTTCAAAAGCTTATTAAATAAAATGCACATACCTTATAAAATGATAGAATACTTCTTATTATTTATTTTTATATATTTTCAACATATGCACATACCCTATGAAAAGTCTCTCCTGCCTTTCCAGCCGTATTATGAATAATATGACATTGGCATCCCATCACATAAGCAGCGTCATTCTCTTTTAAAAGTCTTGTCTTTATGGAATTTCTACAT